CTGGGGGTGTTGGTTGACAGCCTGGTGAACATGAGCCAGCAGTGTGCTCAGGTGGCCAAGAAGGCCAACAGCATCCTGGCCTGTATCAGAAATAGTGTGGCCAGCAGGAGTAGGGAAGTGATTGTGTCCCTATACTCAGCACTGGTGAGGCCCCGCCTCAAGTACTGTGTTCAGTTTTGGGCCCCTCACTACAAGCAGGACATGGAGGCCCTGGAGCATGTGCAAAGAAGAGCAAGGAAGCTGGTGAAGGGTCCAGAGCATGTGTCTTATGAGGAGCAGCTGAGTGAACTGGAGTTGTTTAGTCTGGAGAAAAGGAGGCTCAGCGGAGACCTTATCACTCTACCAACTACCTGAAAGGAGGGTGAAGCAAGCTGGGTCTTGGTCTCTTCTCCCAAGTAACAAGTGACAGGATGAGAGGAAACAGCTTCAAGTTGCACCAGGGAACATCTAGACTGGATATTAGGAAATTCCTTCACCTGAGAGGTTGTCAAGCATCGGAACAGGCTCCCCAGGGAAGTGGTGGAGTCACCATCCCTGAAAGTATTAAAAGACTTGTAGATGTGGTGCTTAGGGGCATGGTTTAGTGGTGGACTTCGCAGTGTTACGTTAACAGTAGGACTCGATGATCTGAAAGGTCTTTTCCAACCTAAACGATTCTATGATTCTTCGATTCAAAAAATCTCCAACACCACATGGCATGGAAACCAATGGATTAGTGGCTTTTCATGTTTATTTGAGCTCTTTCCTTACTGTTGATTTAAATCATCCTTCTGAGGTATACTTTTTAAATAATGAGGCTACAAAACATGAAATGCATTTATATTGACTGGTCAAGATCAAATTATTTTACTCTCAGAAGTTTATTTTGATCTGTGTAATACAATTAAGGTATTGATGAAAAAGTACATTAATTTAAAAGCAAGGAAATTGTATTAATAATTCAGTTAACTTTTTAAACTTCAGTTAACTTCACCTAAGAGTTATGGTTTTGTACCAGCTATTAAAAAGTCATTTGCATTAGCCTGATTGTCACTCCTATGCAAAAATGTCATCATCACTGGAATCTGAGCAAAGTAGTTTTCTGCCCGGATATGCTTTCGTTTTATTCTGTGAATAAATGCCGCTTCATAAGCCTGAAAGGAAAAAAAACCACACCAAATCCCATTAAATAAAATTAAATTAATTTAGCAATCTACATGTTACTTCATATTTTAGACAGTATAAATAGTGAACCTTTAATAAACTAAGCCAGATAATTTATTTATATATGATACATAATGAAATATTTTGTAGTTCTATACTGCTACCTTATGGCCCCATAGTGAAAATTACTAACCACTCCTTGTGAAATATTAGTTACCTTTTAAAAACAGAGAAACGCCTAGCGTTTTTTTCTCAATTTAAGATAAAACTTATTTCTTTCTTTTCAGGTAAGAACATTTGTACATACCTTTGAAAATTAAAAAAGGTAATGTTTAAATAAAAACATTTACAAGGTGATGACTATAGGAAATTTCCTTGATAAGAATCAGAGTGATTATTTACAAATAATTATGGCAACAAGCATTTTGCAGCATTTCATTCAGCCTTTGCATTCAGTGGCGACATTTTCCTAAATTTCTAGTGATTAGTAGTAGTTCAGATGATGTCATAAATAACCAGATTTGATTTTATTTTTTTTTTAATAAAGCAAATAAAGGTGACTTCCCAATATAGCTGGTCCACTTTTATTTTTGTAGCAAGAGCTAAGTGAAAATACCTTATGGTTTTTAGGTAGGCTCGCATACCTTACCTTCTGGTATGCTCTTCTGGCCTAATTCCCACTTCCACTGAAGCTCTGTATCTAATCAAGTTAATAGCATCTCTTTGACTATGACATCCAGACTTGTGAAGTTAAACGAGGTAAGTGCTTAATGAGAATCTTTGCCTGCATAATACTAGTAACTTAAATTTATGGATGCAGAGAAGCATCACTAGATTCAGACTGCCTGAACAGCCTTGCTGACTGAAAGTGAGGTGGAGGAGTCAATGAACGATTTCCAGCTTGAAATTGATTTTACCTTTTCAAGCTAATGCTCACATAAACATGTGTCTCATTGAAGACACAAGTTGGGCCCATACACAAAAAGTATCATAGATGGCAGAATTCCCTTTACCCTTAGAATTCCGACTGATTTATTTCACCCCCAAAGCAAACCTTTCATTAAGAGAGCAATTTGTTTGCTGTCAGTTTAGTTATCACATACTCTTTAAGACTTCCAGAAAGAAGGGCAAGGCATAACAGCTGAAGTTGCATTTGTGATGCACACGTACTATGTTAGAAATTGAATTTAAAAAACCCTGAACAAAAGGACACTATAGAACAATGACCTCAGATCACTACTTACATAAATCAATAACCTAGAGATGAAAGGCCTATTAATCCATTACTAACTACAGGGCAAACACTGCTCACAGGATTCTCCCTTAGAATGTGCCTCAGAAAACTAAATTCTCTACCATACGATGTCCCGTGGAGTGAGATATTTACCAGACTACCATGTTTAGATATGGAATTTCAGGGGAGAGGTGTAAAAATAGTTTCAATGACTTCTTTTAAGTTTTTTAACACAGAACAGCAAATATGTTTTTATTGCTTAATTGCAAACTATAAGATTACATTGTCACACGTACTTAAGAAAGTAAATTGAGACAAATTTAATTATGACAAATGGTTAAGTTCTAGACAAAGAGCCAGTCTGTTATTTGATGAGAAATTTATAAGGGCAGAAAGCAATGAGGGCAGAGCATGTGCAAGAGCATAGGCACACAATTGTCAGAGAATTTATGGTTAGCCTTTAGTATGTTTTTCATCCAGGCCAGCTCCTGTCTGATCTCAGCTGAGAGAAGAGCATAGGCATGGCATTGTTCTCAGCAGGCAGCATGGATGAGGCCACCAAGCTAACTTCTTGCATTTGGAGTGAAGTATGAGCCAGCAGTGTGCTCTTGTGGCCAGGAAGGCTCATGGTATCCTGGGTTGCATTAGGAAGAGTGTTGACAGCAGGTCAAGAGAGGTTCTCCTCCCTTCTCTACTCAGCCCTGGTGAGGCCCCACCTGGAGTACTGTGTCCAGTTCTGGCCTCCCCAGTACAGGAAGGACATGGAACTCCTGGAGCGTGTCCAGGGAAGGGTGACTAAGATGACTGAAGGACTGGAGCATCTTTCCTATGAGGAAAGGCTGAGGGAGCTGGGCCTGTTCAGCCTGGAGAAAAGACGACTCAGAGGGGATCTGATTAATGTTTATAAATATCTAAAGGGAGAGTGTCTAGAGGACGGGGCATCCAACAATAAAGGACGAGAGGCATCCAACAATAGGACGAGAGGCAATGGGCATAAACTGCAGCTTAGGAAGTTCCACGTGAATATAAGGAAGAACTTCTTCATTGTGAGGGTGCCAGAGCACTGGAACAGGTTGCCCAGAGAGGTTGTGGAACCTCCTTCCCTGGAGATATTAAAAAACTGTCTGGACAAAACCCTGGTTCATGTGCTCTAGGAGTCACAGGATTCTATTAAAACATAATATAAATATAGTAAAAAATCAAGCCCATCAGATTTTACCTCCTGAAGGTTAGACAGCTTAAGATGCGCATCTGCCTCATCTTTAGTGAGGAGAACAGTGTTCCACGGAGACCACTCACACCCCTTATCCCATCTGACCATAACCAAATCATAGAGGTCACTGCAGGCACTGAGAGCTGACTGACACCCCCATATGTTCTCAATCATGTACTGCAGATCTCGAAGCTGAAACAGAAAACAGGATTAAGAAGGAAGAAACATGTTTCATTCTATAACAGCAGCATTGTAACTGAATATCCAAATACATATTTGAGTAAAAACGTTTTTTTTGCATATGTCATATAATCACTTGGTTAAAGAATGTCTAGACATACACATCTTGCATGGTGTGGCAATTAAGAACTGCATTTTTCTTGTATCATCTGTAAAATATTACATTCTTACTTTGATTGTCTCTACAGATGGCAATTCATATCTTCCACTGATATCATGATTGCTACCTGCTCTTACAAAACTTTTTTAAATGAATGTTTTTTCTCATGTAGAATGCTTAAGCCTGTTCAGACCTTTTTTAGTCAACAACAATAATCCATCTCTATCATTAGTGAGATGACTCCATCATTTCATTCTTGGGTTCAGAATTAATGGTATTCAATAAATTAGTTATTACACTACTAAACTACTAAAAGTTTACATATAATCAGAATAATCTGGCCTGCAAAATGTGGAAAATTATGACAAGAAAAACTCCCACCTGTGACAGACCCCAAATCACTGTCTGCTTTGCTTAGTTCCTTTCACTCTGCTGCTGACATATGAGGAGTTTATTGTGCTCATGATACTGTTGCTCATTTTACCAAATGAGATCATCATATCAGGTCACTATGCTACAGTATTAATAAAAAAATAATAAAGGGTCTGTTTCTAAAGGTTGTCTCTTACAGAAAGGCCTTTAAATGTACTTTTAACGTATGTCTACAGTTAATTTACATCAATATTAATTTGTTTCATTTGTTACTAGCCATCTGAAATCACTACTAAATCTTGATAAACACAGCTTCTTGAATGAAGAAAAAAAAAAAAAAAAGGGATGGAAGTTACCACTGAACTTTGGTAAGTTTTTCTGTCACAACCATTATTTTTTCTCTGTATTAGTCATGGAAAATTATTAGAAGACTTATCTACAGGAGTTTGTAAACAGCAGACTTTTAAATAAGTTTTTCTCCAAGCTAGCCATTTGAAGAAGACTCATTCCTCTAAAAAGAAATCAAGTTAATTAATTAAATAATGGTGTTTGCATGTTACTTATTAAATTCCTGACAAAGGAAGAATGAAACTATACCAATACAGTGCCTTAGTGAAATGCAGCCTCATGTATTCCCATTCCTTTTGCTTCCAAAATCCAGAAGCCCATGTAAATTCTAGCCAGGGAAAATTTAAGATAAAAGCTGGGCTTAGAACCTTCACAGGTAATAAAACGATGCCTACTGATTCCAGGAACATAGGACTGCTTCTATATCTGGTCTTAAATCTGGCCCTACAGGGCATCCTTTATCAAGTTTCACTAATTGCATTCTGTTTTCGATACTTGCTGCTTTTCACAAAATGTCAAATAATTTCAGTATCTTCTTCTTAGAAGCCAGAGATTTGCAGGCAGACATATTAGCAAGTACCACTATTTTCCTGCTAAGCTACACATCTCAAAAGTTACTAGAACTTGCAAAAATCTATACTGAGGTATATGGGGCCATGTAAAACAGATCCACAACTTGACTCTCCGGGACTGCAATTCTTTTCTGCCTGAAAAATAGGCAAAAGCTTGTTCTATGGTAAAATATCTCTGGTTATGGGGAAGAGTTTGACTTAAGAGACTTCTTCTGCATTTTCTAAAGGTAGACATGCATTTGCTTTGAAATCTTACAGTTAATTCATTTCAAACGATGCTTCCCTCCCACCTCCTTAATAATTTGCTCTGGGCTCAGAAGAAACAGAAATGGCCTTCAGCACTGTCATCTGAAAGACTGGGAGCAGGTATCATAGAAGGCCCAGCAGCTAAGACTGGGAAACAAGGGTAGGCAGCAAACCAGTAAAGGAATTAAGTCTATTTGTAACTTCAAACGAATACGACATTCCCATTAGGATGTTGCTCATCAAGAAAAATCAAAGTCATAGTATTTACCATTGATTCTAAAGAGCATAAAACAGTTAAACCCTCTGAAAGACTAAAAGGCATATGCAGGACTTGACACATTTATTGAAATAGATCATTTTGATACCAAAAAGGTCTTCCACTGCTGTAAGAAGAATTTAGTGGAGCTACTGTAACTCTCAGCAACAGCTTTTTGCCTTTTAAACCTTAGCAGCGCTCATGTTGGTGATCAACCCAATAACAGTTAGAATCAGATCTGAAGCAAAATCTTTTATCTTCTCATAAAAGTTTTGCATCTACTCACAGAAAGTACAATCAGAGCCAGTAATGGTACTGCAATGGGCAATGAATTAAGCTGTCAGAGCTGCTGCAAAAGACTTTTAGCTGTGCCCAAGTAATTTCTAGATGCCTCAGAGCTGTTTTTTGGATTAAGTGGGGTAGGGGACACATGGTTGTTGGGAGGGGAAGGAAAAAAGTAAGTAGCTCAGAAAAAATTAGTAATTTAAGGAACTGTTGGGAAAAAAAAGCCAAGGAGATTAGTGATTTAAGATACAAACCTCTGTTGTTTAGGCATTTACAGCTCTAAAGAGGAGAACTGGAAGTTAATTTGGATGGAAATGACACAGTATCTAGACATGCTACAGTGGTACAATCACAAACGGAACTTTTGATGTCAGCAGTTAAGAAGCAGTCATGTTTCAGTGCATCAATGACCATCAGCCATCACAGGTAAGGTGATATGAGAGAGGTCCAAAAGAGTTTTGAGGATGTTTACATATTAAGTTAAACACAGACAAAAAGCTTTTCAGCTTAAGTGAAAATCAATACAGATGAACAACACCTACAAAATCCAGGTTCTTTGGTAATATTTATTAACACAGGCATGATAATTAAAGAAACCTAACCTTCCTTTTGGCAGCTGCTTTTGGCAAAGTGCTAAACCACAGCATGGTTTGTTTTGGTAGCAGTGGGATATTGATGACTGGCTTTTGTTTGCTTGTTTGTTGTTTCAGACATACTAAAAATGCAGTTTAAAAACTGTTCTATGAATGTTGATGCTGTAGAGATTTTCATTACTGAATCTCAGAAAGTTCAAATACATCTCAGCTGTATTTTCAATAAATATCACTCTGCAATTACATCAGATTTAAAACTTTCCCAGTGGATATTGGATGTCAAATGCTTTTGTTGACAAAACAAGTAATAACAACTAAAAGAAAGAATATGCTGAAGACAGAGGCAAGAAATTCTTTGAACGAAGATGTTCTAGTAATGATTATTAAGAAACATTAGCTACTTAGTATTACTGCAAAAGATTACAGATGGTGGTAAAAAAACCCAGAAAATTAAAATATTTAGTGAATCCCTCTCCTAATAAATGCAAAACAGTAAAACTTGCAACTATAAAGATATACTACAGACATAGTACAGGAATGTCAAAACCTCAGCTTCTTTATTTTTTTCTTTCTGAGAATACGAAGCAATTTAGTTGTTCAAATACTGGGCCTTAACATGTTTTACTAGCATTATGTCTTGAACAACATTGTAGTCACAAAACCATTATTGTTGCTTTACAGATAATGCCAGTATCTTTAAGTAACAGGATGGCCATAGCAGAACCACAAGAAGAATTTGGATCACCTGATTCTGTGACCTGCCAGCTAGAATTCTACAGCTTGTAACCACTTTCAAAAGTACAGCTATACTTAAAAGTTTAAGTGCTTCTTCTTTATGATATAGAACATCCCATATCACAGGAAGAAGTTTTAGTAGCCTATTTCTCCACCTGTTAACAACATATACAAAATAAAGGAAAAATTATAGTCAAAGCCACTGTTTTGCATTATCAGCAATGCTCTTTCAGACAGTACCTGAACTAAGAAAACAATTTTGGAATTATCCTGATAATCAGCTTCAGACTTTCTCAGATTTTCTAGTATGAGTTTGTACTTCAAAAAGGTTTCTCGCCGCTGAGCCTCATTATCAAGCTTGCAACACAAGCGACACCTGCCAATGGTGCGGGAATTAGCAGGAACAGGAAACTCAGTAGATGGTAAGTAATTTTCACAACTATGACAGAAGTTAACTTTTTTATAAAGCTTTAAGGGATCTGTTGGAACCTACAAGATTAAAAAAAAAAACCAAAAAACAAAGTTAATTTACCACAAAGTATCTTTGTATTACTTGTGTGTCACCCTAACTCTATTGGAATACATTTTACATACATTCATGCAAGTATTCGAGTAAGTAAAAGCCAGTAATATTTATTTAAAAATACCCAATAGGGTTGGGTTTTTTTGTTCTTAAATAGAAGAATAAAAGCCATTCTATTTTCTTACTGTACTTGTTAAAATAAGTTATACAAATCAGTCAATTCATTTTTAAGCTATATGAAGATCCTAGGCATTATGCTTCAGTGGTCTGGCTGGTGCTTTTACATATGCAGATTGTCAGCCATTCTGGAAAGATGACACAGAGAAAAGAGAAAATAATTCTTCTGCATTTATTTTTTTCATATAAAATCTGACCTTTATGTCAAAGATAAAACCCTGAGATTATGGGCATATTAATATTTTGACATAAGAATAT